TGGGGAGATCGTCGACGACGAAGACGGCCTTTGGTGCTGCAAACGGACCAATGGACTTGCGCACTTGGAGGATCAGGTCCTTGCGTATCGGTTCACCGCTATCCACGCCATCCTTCAGCGACACAAACGCATTGACAGCTTGGCCTGTGAGTTCGTCGTTGATACCAACCACGGCAGCTTCAGCGACCCCTTCGTGTTCGATGAGTGCAGCTTCGATTTCTGCAGTGGACAAACGATGTCCAGAGACATTAACGACGTCATCGACACGACCCCGAATCCAGTAGTAACCTTCGTGATCACGACCGGCGCCGTCACCAGTAAACTGTTCACAACGTCAGTTGATCCGTCCCTTGAAGCCTGTCAGGGAGAAAACTCACATAATAACCCTTGTACACGTTCAAATAGGTGTCCATGTATCTTTGATGTGCACCCCAGACAGTTCGCGCCATGCTTGGCCACGGCTGCTTGAATGCCAGCACCCCCTCCACATCATTGCCCTCAATTTCCTCACCAGAGACTGGGTCAATAATCGCAGGTTCAATACCGAAGAAGGGAAGCGAGGCACTGCCCGGTTTCGTCGGCGTCACACCAGCCAGCGGTGTGATCACATGAGAGCCGGTCTCGGTTTGCCAGTAGGTGTCAACAATATGAGCCTCTTCCTTGCCGACAGCTTCGAAATACCACTTCCAGACCTCGGCTGCGATTGGTTCACCAACCGAGCCCAAAACTCGCAGCTTGTGCAGCTGATGGTGGATATGCTCATCACCAGCTCTCTTCAACAGACGGAGAGCGGTAGGGGCGACATAGAATTGCGTGACGCTGTGCTTGTCGATCACGTCCCAGTATCGGGAGAAGTTGGGGTAGGCTGGCGTACCCTCGAAGACCACGGTCGCGACACCAAGGAGGAGCGGCGCATATACGACGTAGGTATGCCCAGTGATCCAACCGACATCACCACCGCAGAAGAAGACATCATTGTCGTGGATATCGAAGACGTACTTGCCGGTTGTTGCAGCACCTAGGAGGTAGCCTGCGGTCGAGTGCATGACACCTTTGGGCTTACCAGTAGAGCCCGATGTGTAGAGCAGGAAAAGAGGATCCTCCGATGCCATGGACTCCGGGGCAATATAGGCGGGGTATTTTGCAGTCTCTTCATGCCACCAGTAATCTCGGCCTTTTGTCCAGGGTACATCCGCACCTGTCCTCTGATAGACGAGCACGTGAGTGACACCCGGGCATTTCTTCAGTGCTTCATCGACAATCTTCTTGGTCCCGATCAGTTTGCCGCCACGCTTTCCTTCGTCGGTGGTAATGACGACTTTGGAATTGGCGTCGTTGATTCGGTCTGCTAGCGAGCCGGATGAGAAACCGGCAAAGACAACCGAGTGCACGGCGCCAATGCGGGTGACGGCGAGGAAAGAAATGACTGCTTCAGGAATCATGGGCAGGTAGAGGGCAACGGTATCGCCTTTCCTGACACCCATCTGTTTTAGGGTGTAGGCTACTCGTGAAACTTCGCGGAGGAGCTCGCCGTAGGTGAGGACACGACCCTCACCGGGTTCGTCTGCCTCGTAGATCACAGCAGGCTTGTCGGGGTTTTTGAAGGCGTGGCGGTCGACGCAGTTATAGCTGGCATTGAGGCGACCCTCTAAAAACCACGCGGCGTCGCCATTGGCGAAAGAGCCAGACCGAACGGTCTTGAAGTCTTTGTCCCAGTCCAGTAGTTCTCGAGCCATCTTTGCCCAGAACTTATCCGGCTGTTCGATGGACTCCTTGTACATGGCATAGTATTCGTCGAGGTCCTTAATGTGAGCCTTTCCGGGGCCTTTGGTGAAAAAGGGTTTAGGAACACTGCAAGGAGGTCAGAGCTGCCTGCCGTGCTAAAAGTCGGACTTTGAGGCTTACTGGAAGGTGTCGACCTCGTGGGCTTCCGCCTGTGTGCCCGTGGTCAGCGTGAGGAACACTTTTGAGAAGACACTTCGGGGAAAAGGAACATAACAAGAGCGACTTACCACGACGGGGCCCTTTTTGGGAGGCAGGACGTCGCCTTCAGACATTTTGATCTATACGGACTGCTCGGCGACCTTGTTCAATGATATGATAGGAGAGGAGAGTAACAAGCGTGAGAGGAAAAGTCGAGCTCAGATAGACTCGAGGAGCGGGGAGTGGGTGGGTGTTTATATCGTGCGTGTTGCACCAGTGCGTAACGTCAAAGGGTAGAGAAGCAGGACCCGCATCCAGGGCGGGGAGATCAGGAGGTCTAATATAGAATAGTGCAGGCAAAGCAAACCCAACAAGAAGATGACGATTGAAATTCAACACACTTGGCTTGTACACCCTAACGGTTGCTCTCCATTTCTCCCTCTCTCCTTTCGCTTGCACATACGATTCAATCGCCTGACGCGGAGGAGAAGGAGCTCTCGAATCGCCATCCAACTCACCCCGCAGCGGCGAATCGATGCCCCAAGAGTCCAGCAGACGAGTTTTTGCCCAAAAATCCCAAACCCTCCCGCAGACCCATGCGTGCCTTGTCCCTTTTGAGACGCCGTCTGACGAAATCAACTGAAAATCCTCGCGCGGACGGGGAAGGCTGGAGCTGTTTCGATTGGGTTTCCGGGCCCAGCGATGGGTGCTCCTTGGTCGCCGCGCCAATCCGAAGTAGATGCCCCTCCATTTTCCTTTTATCCGTTGCGGACGGCGACAAGTTACGGAGGAATGCCATGAAAAGCCCAGTCCATCCGGGCTGGAGCCATGGCCAGAGAATCGCGATCCCTATAGCCTGTCTGGTCTTCCGGGCCAGCTTTGCCATCCATGAGTCTGCGCAGATCCTGCGAGCTCTTCATGGCAATCGCCATACCAAGGAACCCAAGTCCATACCCCGCGGGGTCTCTCACGCAAAAGCGTCACGCGTACCAAAAGAAACCCTCTCGGCCTTGCATCATCGCCCTTGGAGCATGACATCTGACCCTGGACATATGGAATCGGTGGTCCAATGGTGTGCTGCGCGAGAAATGCCCCGGCTGAGTCCAACGGGAGCATGCAGCCTCCGGAAGTCTGCGCCCAGCCGAGGGAAGCCCTCTCGGCAACTCAGCCAAATCCAGGAGACGGACAACGCCCATATTACGGACTGTTCGCAATCTAGATGCAGGCAGGCTTGTCCCGCTTATTTGGCCAAGCTTGTGGTGTGATGCTTCTGTCCAGTGTTTGTTCTTGTAGTTGCGAATGCCGGACTAGGTGAAAGAAGCAGGTACGCTGGAAAGAGAACTCATCTGACAATAATGTCGCCACACACAACAGCTGTGGTTTGTACTTGGGATATTTCCACCCTCAGCTTCCTTTCATCCAGGACGCTAATCCCAGCATGAACACCATAATCGCGCCGTCCCCGATGAATTCCTTGCCCATTTGTATCCACAGCTTTATTCCGCTTTTGCCCGACTGGCCTTTTGATACTGCTCTTGCGCCCTGGACCACTAGTTCTCCGGTCATGAACACAACAAACGGGTTCTGGAAGGTCGCTGGTGCCGGTGGATTCTCACCATACGTCTGAGTGGATTCATGTATGCGGAATACCAGGTAGAAGCCCGCCATCAAGGCGAAAATAACATGCACGGCTTTCCAGAAGCGTGTCGCCTGTATCTCGGCCTGGCTAGGTGGCGCCTTCGGATCTCCCATCACCATGTTCGTGAGGAAGGAAGGAAGGCCTGTTGCCTTTGAGATGTCGTCGGGAGACAATCCGGGGCCAGCACCCATCCCACCAGGAGCATTTGGATCTGTTGAACTATCCATTCCTCCTATCATTGTTTGCAGCATCTTCAACATCGGGTCTTCCTCCTGTGTTTGGCCTGGTCCGCCTTGTGACAAGGGCTGTCGCAACATTGCCTTCAAGTACTCCTCCTGCGCTTTTAGCTCTTCCGCCGTCGGCGAGGCACCGGGTCCTCCAGGCGGTGGATCGATCGGTTCTGGAGGAGATCTTGGAGGTGGCGTTGAAACTGGGGTTTCGTTGCGCACTGTGAGTAGAACCTCTTAGCCTGCTTTTTCTGGCAAATGTCCTGTAGTCGCATGTCGCGTGCAAATGATTTCCTGTTCAACACGACAGATCTGTGCCTAGAGTATCACTCACTGCTTTCCGGGGTCCTTCCACTCAATCTTGTAATCTTGTCCAGTCTCTCTGCCGCTGAGCCTGTGATTTTCGCTTCCCGCTTCTGTCGGCGAATGCGAGCTTGTCGCTGCGCTGGCGTCTCTTCCATCTCAGCCATCCTCACGATATCTGAAGAATATATCCTGTTGCCAACGACTGCGCAAGTCCTGTCACAGGCCTCTCATGGAGTGATCACTCTTTTAGCCAGATGTTGAGGAAGACTAGAGAGTATATTCGTATGCGCTTCGTTGCAATCGGACCGATTTCTGGGGAAACGGGGTGCGGTTCAGGAGCGCACAGGCAAGGGTTCAGAGAGCAAACAGCAGGAAAAGAGACAAAGTGTAGGTAGTGGATGTACCCCAGTCAGGTTTCAGCCTGTTCACAATCGGTGCATCGTCAGAAATCGAAAACAATTCGAAATGACGTACAGAGTGATTTGGCGCCTGCTGCACGAGTCAAGCCTGTCAGACCGAGTCATGTGATCTCGACTTGGCAGCCTAAGTGCAGAGATCCGCAGCTCATAGCGGAGGTCAAATCATCTCCATCCACCTCCCTTGGGGCGCGTTCATCCTCCTCTTATTCTTCTATTTGGTCGAAAAGTTACCTCGAGCGTATTCAGGCGCCGAGTCGTCGAGGGGTGAATCGATCACTTTCATCCACAGAGCTCTTCTGCCTGCGATATCCCCGGGTCGACTCGAACCTCGTCTTTTTGGGCGCGTCACGAATTTCTTAGACCACATTTCTATTCTCATTCCAATCCTCATTCCAATCGATTCGTCCGCTCTTTTTTTTTTGTCTTCATAAATCTCATCCTTCGCTTCCGAAAATTGCGCAAAGACGCGCCTCGATACCCGCCAACATGTCTTTTGGCGGCGGCGGCGGTTTCTCCTTCGGGTCGAGCAACAATACTCAAAACACGGGATTTGGAGGGTTCGGCAGCAATACCAATACTAGTACAGGTAAGTCAGAACTCGGGTCAGGTCAGACAAGAAGGCCCTCTAATGTTTTTCTTTGTGATTCAGGGTTCGGTACAAACACGAGCACTACTGGCTTTGGTTCCAGCACTGCGCCAGCAAATCCATTTGGAGGCAGCACATTCGGCTCTAACACTAGTGGTGTGTGAATCATTCTTTCATTAGGCAAAAAGTCTTCACATTTTTGCACTGCCTGACCTGCGATATCTCCATGTTCCTGGTCCAAGAGTCTCTCTCTCTCTTGTCGTAAATCTTTCCTCGTAACAAATGTCTCGGTTGAGGACTCCCCAACAAGGGTCCAAGCGACGACTGTCTCCTATCAATTTCACCCTTGTTGATGATACGACTTCTTCACCTTCCATTCAGACCAAAAAACTAACGATGAGTTCTCAAGGTTTTGGTGGCAATACCAATACGTCCGGCTCCCTCTTTGGCAACAAGCCTGCCTCGAACCCTTTCGGATCGACAACCACAAACACAACAGGTGGACTATTTGGCAGCTCAAACACAAATACTGGATTTGGGTCGGGAAGTGGGTTTGGAAGCACCAACAATGCCTTTGGCAATAACACTGGGGGTTCAAGCTTCAGTTTTGGAAGCGCGTCGAAACCTGCTTTTGGTTCCGGTACCAACTCGACTCCCATGTTTGGTCAAGGAGGTGCAGGGACAACTGGCGGTTTTGGATCGACTTCAAGCCCATTCGGTGCTGCTGGCAGCGGAACGGCTCTAAGCAATCAACCTGTCCCTCCATCCGAGGGCACCGCTTCCACGCCATATGCGCCCACGCTCGAAAAGGAAGCTGCAGGCCTATCCAGTAACTACCAGAGCATCAACTTTATGCCACCCTACCAAAAATACTCATTCGAAGAGTTGCGACTAGCAGATTACAATGCTGGCCGCAGGTATGGAAACTCCACGGGCCAGGCGGGTGGGTTTGGTTCAAGCACTTTTGGGGGCTTTGGCACAACCAACACTGGTTTTGGCACAAACACAAACACGAATCCTTTCGGCACGACAACCACGTCCTCATCAGGCTTCGGCTCCAATACAGCAACGACCGGTTTTGGTGGCGGTAATAGCCTGTTCGGAAACAAGACTGCTGGTACAAATCTGTTCGGCCAGCAGTCCTCTGCTGCCCCTTCTAATACCCTCTTCGGAACCTCCAACACTGCAACAAATGCATTCGGTAGCGGGAGCACGGGGTTCGGGTCAGGAGGGGGTCTCTTCAATCAGAACCAAAACCAGAGTAAGCCAGGATTGTTTAACACCTCATCAAGTACTCCCTCGGCATTCTCGTTCGGCAACGCCAACACTGCCAATACGAATACCGGAAATGGTTTGTTTGGCAATAACACCAATACCGCGAACACTAATGCATTTGGTGGGAATCAGCAACAACCTGGAGGAATGTTCGGGAACAATGCCAATCAGCAACAGCAAAAGCCCTCACTTTTCAACAACACAGCGTTTGGAGCATCAGCAAATCAGAATCAACAGCAAGGTGGTCCCTTCGGCAATAACAACAACGCAGCCACCGGTGGTGGCATTTTTGGCAACAATACCAACACCAATACCGCTACCAGTGGTGGTATGTTTGGCACTAACAACACCCAGGGTACGTCTATGTTCGGATCTAATGCCAACAATCAGCAGAAACCGGGTGGTATATTTGGCGGGAGCACATTCGGGAACACTGGCACCAATACTGGTGGAGGTATTTTTGGAAATTCCAACAACCAACAACAGCCAGGAGGCTTGTTCGCACCCACAAATACGAACACAGGTTCAGGGTTTTCCTTTGGAAATACTGTCAACAAACCTGCCACCGGTTCTCTCTTTAACACTACGAACAACCAGCAGGGCGGCTTCGGTGGCTCAACTGGTAGCTTTGGAGGCCTGTTCGGCACTTCCCAAAATAACCAACAGAATCAACAGCAACCAGATTTCAAGGTTTCGTCCTTGAATGATCCCAACCCTTATGGGCAAACCTCTATCTGGACTGGGCTGCCCGTGCCTACACCGGATAATTCAAAGCCACTTTTCACACCTTTGTCTGCCACCCAGAAGTTGAAGGAGAGTCAATCAAAGCCACCGCCGAGCCTCAGACTCAATCAGTCTCGTTACATGACGCCCCCTAGACGATCTGGCTTCGGGTTCTCTTATTCGACCTATGGCACACCAAACAGTGCGGCCAGCACACCTGGCGGAAGTGGCTTAAGTAGCAGCATGTACGGTAGCCGTTCCTTCAATGGAGGCAGCTTCGGCCGCTCATTTGGCAAGAGTGCATCTACCAACAATTTGAGGTCTCACTTTGCAGGAGATGGCGAAGGCGTGCTTAGCCCTAATGCGTTTGCTTCCACAAATACCAGATGGTCAAGTGGAAATATGCGTAGGTTGACGATCGATCGGAGCATCAGAAACGATCTTTTCAGCCGACCTTCACTCCCTGCTTTCCCAACAAATGCTCTCAGCCAGTCAGTCAATGGGAACAATGAGGTTGCTGTTGTTGCAAATGGTGAACCGTCGTCGACCAGCGAACCGGCGAACAAGCTGAAGAAACGCGTGAGCTTCGACAAAGATACCACTGGGGGTTCAAACGGGGCGTTGAATGGCGAATCTGGAGCCTTGGTGAGAACCGAGAGTGACCAAGACGAGGCTGATGGCACTGCAGCTAGCCGTACTGTGAATGGCACGACAACACCTGACGCCGAACCAGCTCGCGGCAATGAGCTCGCTGTTGTTCCAGAAGATCGCGAGTCTGATGACGTGATCTCTAGGAAGACGACCGTCCAAGCCAAGCCAGATCCTCAACCTGGAGACTACTGGATGAAACCTACTCGTGCTGAGCTGAGCAAGATGCCTCGTGAGAAGCTGTCCCGATTTGTCGGATTCGAGGTTGGCCGAAAAGGGTGTGGTAAGGTTGTGTTCAACGGTCCTGTTGATCTAACCAGCATCCCTCTGGATGATCTCTATGAGAAGATTGTGGAAATTCGTCTGCGATCAGTCACCGTCTATCCTGATGCCAGTTCCAAACCACCGGTAGGCAAGGGCTTGAACGTGCCGTCGACAATTTCCATTGAGAACTCCTGGCCACGATCCCGGGGTCAGCCTTCTTCTGCCACAAGCGGACCAATCTTCGAGAAGCATGTCAATCGTCTCAAGAAGATGCATGGTACTGAATTCGTGAACTACGAAGTGACCACGGGTGTATGGACGTTCCGTGTCCCTCACTACACCCGCTATGGTTTGGACTACGACGAAGACGACGACATGGGCCAGAGTCTGCTGTCTGCTCCCCCTGAATCATTGAATAGCGCCCGCTCCATCGAAAGTTCGGGGATGGACGTTGACAGTGAAGTACATGATGATGACGAGCTTGATGGTAACGATGATACATTTGCGTTCAAACAAAAAACTCTACCTGGTGGATATGGTCGGCAGTCCGTTGTTGACTATAGTGACGACGTCCCTGCGGCTCAGACAATTGAGGAAGGTGCCGAGGGTTCTGAAATGGAAGAAGACGATTCCGATTACGAAGACACCGACAACGAAGTGAGCATGGTAGGCTCATATCCTCCACCTATTGTTAGTCCCGGCAAACCGATCCTCAAGCCGAGCACTGCCGGCACACCCGGCAAGGCGCTCATCAATATTGACGGGGACTGGGCGGAACAACTCCAACGCACCATCAGTCCACGAAAACAGAACCGTGATGCTCTTCGACAGGTGCAGAGCAAAGTCCTTCTGGACCGCACGTACGAACCAATGAAACCGAGTTTTGACTTCAAGAATGTCAACAAGAGTGAATTTCGAACGAGTATCGACATTATGAATTCGCTTTTCAGCAGACACGAGGAAAGAATGGCCGAATTGAAGGGAAAGAAGGGAAAGCCGCAGGCTGGTCCGGATTTTGAGGTTTGAATTCCCTACCCCTATTCTTCTCCCTCCCATTCCTTTTGACCTCCTGTGCCTTTGAATCCTGTGGCCGTGATCAGTCGGTTTGTCGTGACATGGAAGTGAGGACGTGATACTCGCATCATTACACAATGTCCAGGGCTCGGAGGCACATGTTGCAGTCACCGATAGCACATATATATGTAGGTAGTTTAATGAGAAACACATTTACTGAAACATTTCATGTTCTAGTTCCCCTATGCAAAGCGCGCGAAGACATTCGAAGACCAAATGCGAGATGATTCCACTGAGCTTGGTGAAAACGATAAGCTCTGGCACGAGAGTTTCAAGCCTCATTTCACGTCTGCCGGTCAGCTTGTTTACAAGTCATCCAGCGCTCCTGGCGACGAAAGGGATTGGATCGCAAAGGTACTGGCGCAAACCGAAGCTACAGGCCGGGAGGTTCTGATGACTTCTCTCCAACCAGTTTGCATTGATAATGTACGGGTATACAAATATGTCCGTGTTCGTGATATTGTCTGACAATTTCATTCAGGTTACTACGTACGTCAAGTCAATCTTGACAGATGCTCAAGTGGTGCTCGTGGACAATGTTCCCCTGGTCAAACACGATGCCATCTCGTTCTCTCAAGTCAAGAATCACCTCATACAGCAGCGCTGTCCTCCCGACGAACTGGACATCTACGAATTACTTCATGTCCTTTTCGATGACTACGAGGACGAGTTTACTCAAGGCCTAAATCGCCAGCAACACCGTGAGTTCGATTTGCGCATCCGCAAGGATCGCCTATCGAAGTATTTCTCGGAGCTAATATGGCGCCGCCACGGCGAGCGTATCGAAGACGCCTCCAAACTCAACGGCGCAACAGCAGCCATTATGCAACTTACGGCGAACGGCACTCATGCTGCGTGTGACGCGCTCATGCAAGAGAAGGACTTTCACCTTGCATTGTTGGTCGCACAAATCGGACAGGCAGATGCAGCTTTCCAGGATGACATGGCTGATCAAATCTCTGCATGGCGCGGACAGGGAGTCATTTCCGAAATGAGCGAGGAGATACGTGCACTGTACGAGATATTGTCGGGAAACACCTGCATTGTGCAGGGAAAGCAGAATGTGCCTGTCGAAGATCGGGCGTCGACCTTCGCCATCTCTGAAAAGTTTGAACTGGACTGGATTCAGGCTTTTGCGTTGTGCTTCTGGTATGGAAGGCACAAGGACGGAGAGATCTGGGAAGTGGTCGCGGATTTCCATGAAAAGTTGAGTTCAGGGCTTGAATCGGCTACGCCTCTGCGTGGGGAGCACGAGGACGAGGATCCTCTGTGGGTGGTGTTGAAGATCTTTGCGAGCAATAATGGGTTCACCAAAGCCAGGGCTGGTAGCAGGACGACACCTTCTGCCAGCGGTCGGGTCGAGAAGCCGGTACTCCCTCAGGCTCTTTCGGCTCTGTCACAGCCTTGGGATTCTTGGAGAACTTTCCGCCTCCATCACACCATTGTTGCCACGATACCAGGGGTGTCAATTGACCAAGACAGATCCGACGACCTAGCCATGTCACTCGCTTTCGAGCATTCGGCACGCACAAATACGCTGGGCGCGGTCTATGCACTTCTCCACCTCTCCAAACCATCTCAGCGAGCTGCTCAGATCCGCCACCTCTTCAACCACCATGCCGCAACATTACCATATGCACCACGTACCGACAGCGCCACAGCCAGTCAAGATTCGTCCTTGTGGACCGCTTTCACCGCATCTCTCCGGATTCCTGCATCATGGATTCACCAGTCCAAAGCTCTTCACGCGCGTTCATGCAATAATCCCCTTGCAGAATTGAACTATCTCTTGGCGGCGGGAGACTTTGGCAGCGCTCATGATTGCTTCCTTCACCGTGTAGCTCCACGACTGGTCATTGACGAAGACTGGAACACTCTTCGAGAGGTGTTGGGGTGGTTCGGAGATGAGGCAGAGGGAAAGGTCAATGCCGCCGTGGCGAGCGACAGCGCTACAGGGTCAACGGAATGGAAAGACGGCGCACAAGTCTACACGGATTTTACAGAACTGATGGCGCTGATGGATACCTCTCAGGCACAACGACGTGGTTCTGCCGAAGGCACGTCGAAGAGAGCACTGCTTGCCCGACTTCAAGTGTCACTGACGGAGTTGAACGCACGATTTAAATATGCCGCGACAGGGCCTAGATCGAGCCACACAGACTTGAACAAGGACCGCGAGAAGCTTGAGGAGATGGTTGCGCTGCGCGAGATGGGACGAATGGTTGCAAAGGCTTTGGAGCTGGAGCTGGAGATGGACAATGGCGTCAGTGAGCAGGTATGTTGCCAGGTGTTTGATTTGCTGTTGCATGTGAGCGGTGTACTGACATTACCTGTGCGAGCAGAGACATATGCTCGACCTTCCCCTTACGACGGACGCGAGGCTTGTGCATGCACGAACTTTGGGGGTGGATTATTATCGTGGTGTAATGGCTATGGCACGGTGAATCTAGTTTGCTGCAGAGATTGGCCCCACAAGGACGTGGGTGATTTGGTGTGAGAGATGATAGAGGGCCGGGGCGTCGACGACTCAGGACTGGTTTAGGTTTACGTACGGGCGACTAACCTTGGAATTTTCGAACTCGGTCGTTCATTCTGGCGGGGGATAAAGACGGTTGAACCGAGAATAGATTCACAGGAGAGTCTTGATAACGAGACATTCTAGTGGCCAGGCGGGTTTTTACTCGGTGCAGGCAGGGGTTAGATGATTCGTGATGAAAATGTCGGTTGTGAGTGAAGAAAGCAGAATCTTTTTGCAGCTAGCTCTTGCAAAGGGATCTACCTGGTTTTCTCTGTTGTGTTCTCCTACAGGCCCGACTCACCGGAAACAAGTACGCTGGTCTATTATTATGGTTGACACGAACGAGAAAATCAGGTCTTGTCCATATCTCAGTAGAACTTGACTACCACTTCCTCAACCCCCTACTTTTTCACATATATGACTTACATTGTCAGATTCATCTTCGCAATCGACCATAGGATGTGGAATACAGGGCTTCCCGTTCGCTCAGCCGTACTTAAGCCACGTGCCGGTCAGTTAGTACTACCGTGGGTGACCAGGTGGGAATCCTGACTGTTGATTGTTTTTGTTTCTCGGGAAATTTTTTGGCCTTTGGAGGAGAAGAGATTTGTATAGATTTTGATATACCTCGATTTTGTTGCCAAGGAGGGTGGATGGTTGGACGCTATTAATGCGGCCAGGGTGGTCAGTTGGGTCGGTTGGTCACTCGGCAGATACACCAAGTTGGGTGGTTGAGCGCATGGGCACCTACCTAAGTAATGTCGTGTGGGGTGGAGTGAGAAGAATTGGGAGTTGGAGCATTGCGGAGTATCGGAAGAACACATTCTCCGCACCCCGAATATCCCTTGGAACTACTGTACTCGGTACAGCCGAATCTTTGGTGCCCCATAGTAGTTTCGGTATACAAGTGGATACACCCCCTGAACATAGACACAAATACAAACGTAAGATACACTGTATATACCCCGTTTATACCCCTGACCATGACATGACATGTTTACGGGATATGCAAGAGTCATTTGTTCGCGTGCGTGGGCACTGACAGCTCGCTAGCTAGCTCTTCAGGTGGCCGGTAATCGGTGGCTGGTGGTCTTTACCTCACCTCAACTCAGGGTGGAGGATCGGCTCAGTTCTCAACGGGTTCTTCCCCGGGTGTTTAAACATACCTCGTAACGAACGACTTATCCAGAGCTATAAACGTACGACGTACGAGGTATATTTACCCAAGGCCGTGTGCTATTTCTTGAATAGTCGTCGCGCATCAGTCAGGTATTACGCAAACTCTACTCTACCTATCAGACCCTCCGGAGTAAAAAGTAGACGATGAAATTTCAAAATATCCTCAACGCCGGCCTCCTCTCGGTATTACCGTCGTCGTCGTCGTCGTTCCAAGAACCGCCACATACAGCCAGCGACCTCCCCTTCACCATCACGCCGTCAACGCCAGAGAAAACGGCCAACTACACGGCGCCGGTGTTCCCCATCGCACCCTTCACCAAGTACGCGCACAACCCTATTTTGAAGCCGAACCCGGCGGCGAACTGGGAGTCGGCGTACCTGTACAACCCGACGGCGATTGTGCTCAACGAGACCGTGTTCCTGCTATACCGGGCGCAGAACGCGTCCAAGACGTCGTCGATCGGGCTGGCCTGGTCGAGCGACGGTGTCAGCTTCACCCGCCTCGACCGCCCCGTCGTCTACGCGACCGAGCCGTGGGAACACCTCGGCGGGACCGAGGACCCGCGCATCGTCCGCGTCAACGGCACCTTCTACCTGACTTACACGGCGTACGACAGCGTGACGGCGCGGCTCTGTCTCGCCACATCCACGGACCTGTTGCACTGGCAAAAGTACCCGCCCTTGTTCCCCTCGTACCGGGACGTGGCGTACTCGGACATCGACGTGCCGTCGCCGCGCACCGATTGGTCCAAATCCGGCGCCATCGTCAGCGAACCGACCCCGGACGGCCTGTACCACATGTACTTTGGCGACAGCTTCTTCTACCGCGCCACGTCGCCGGACCTCTTAAACTGGGCAGCGCTGCCCGCCGACCAATATTTCGCCAGCCCCCTCAATCCGTGGGAAAATGGGCTGATCGAACCCGGACCACCGCCCGTCAAGACGCGGGATGGGAAATGGCTGCTGATATACAATGGCATGACGACAGGGCGTGTGGGTTACCCGCAGAAGCAGTATTCGGTCGGCCAGATGCTCATAGACCCCTCGGGCTCGTTTCGGCCGACGGTGAATGGGAGCGATGGCGCGTACCAGCCGGCACTGAGAGATGGGCCCGTCGCAAGGCTCGAAAGGCCGATCTTGGTGCCCGAGGCTGACAACGAGCAAAAGGGCCAGGTGGACCAGGTGGTGTTTGCCGAGGGGCTGGTGCAATTCAAGGGCAAGTGGCTCCTCTACTTTGGTAAGTGGGTGTTGTCCCTTCTCGGGAAGGTGATGGTATTATCGTATCTGGCTGACCAGTATCACAGGGCAGGGAGACAGTGAATTGGGTGTGGCTATCGCAGATCAACAACCGTGAGGGTGTTCATTCTTAATGCCTCGCAAAGGCTGAACCAGGTATACATGTTCATGCAGCTGGATCCTCAATACGAGGCCTTTGTACATTCAATGGCGAAAATTCGGCCAGATTCATGCCGTGAGCTTCACCCCCTCCTGGCTCATAGTCCTGCCATATCGTCTGCGGAATTGGTAGCTCTCGTATATCTTCATCCGACAACCCGGCAGCTCGGAATGCATCAATTCCGTGGCTGTAAAATTTCACGTTGACTTCGTCTTGAACCTGCAGTCAGTTCGTAGCGTCCTGCATCGGTTGATCCTGCCAGAAACCTCTCATGAATTTGTCTTGCACCGTTTTAACAGAGGGATCCAAGGCCACGGTACGCCATGCATTTGGCGGCTCAAAGATCACCAAGAATGGTCCAACGGTGGCCGACCCAGCCTTGTGTAAGAGATCAGCCTCCAAAAAGACGTTTTTATATAAGAGGATATCGCGGGCTTTGATACGGAGCAGAACGAATGATTGGTCATAGTCCCTTATCCTTCGGAGGCGGTCCCAAACGGGATGATATTTCCCTGCTGAGTATAATGGTAATTGAATCCAGGTGTTGAGGTCAGCTCCAGCCTCGATAAAAGCGCGGGTCGTACGTTCTAGTGATTCAGGGGACATGTTCAGGACACTGTAGGTCCAGATAGTGCTGTACCCAGTCGTATCCCCGTCGGCCGGATCGATGAACGACTTTTGATTCGGATCTGCCCCAATGCCAGCAAGAGGTCTACATTTGCGAGCTCGACGTCAGGAGCGATTACCGACACGCGGCAAGCGCAGCCAAGAAGGTCAGTCAAGTAGGCTCTATTGTGAATCAAGCCTGAGCGTGTCAACTTGTATTTTGTGTATGCCGGATGGCTGAAGGGAGCAAAGACTTTGGTGTAATCCAGATTCCCTGCGTCATTGACACATTCCTGCCACGTCCGTTGCATCTCTTTGCCGGAGAAAACACCTCAGGACTTGAGCTTCTCGAATATCCCCTCTAGCTGCACAAAGAGGGTGATTGTCTAGGTAATCATCGAATGGTGAGAGATTGAAAATTCCGAATGCCTTACTTACAGTATGTCGATTTACCCATATGGCGCCCAATAAGATCGTAACAAGCGTAGACTTGTATCGCATCATGACAAGCTCGTGGTGCATGGGAGGTTGAGCTTGGAGTAATTTCTTGCCGGATTCCGTCTCGAGATATTCTCGGGCAGTCCGGTGCAGAAACGACACATACAGCCTTCGGTGACTCTTGTTGATCTCAACGAGTCTTTTCATGGTCTCTGGATAGTGGATGAGGTCGGTGTCTCCATCTTCCACCCCCCAAAGGCGAACCAAAAGACTTCGATCCTTCTCATTCTCATCGATCGACCCATGTATTTCGAGAAAGCCCGCGCAGCGTGTGAGGATCCTTTTTTTAGATGTTTCAGCATTCAATTCCTGTCCCAAGGTTCTCAAATCGCACGTTGCTAATTTGTCTAAATACGATTCCTGTAAACTTTCGTCACAGGCCATCGTCAACTCGATCAGGGAGCAAAAAGGGCGTTCCTGGACGTATTGTAGATATGCTGCAGCTTCCCTTGCGTACAAAGGATGGTCGGCTTCCATACGCTTCCACATGTGTTCATAAAGATGAAAAATCCCTTGCGGCATTTGTTCAAGGCGCCTGGCCAAAATCCGCCAGTCGTCATCTTTCTGAATGCCTCGAACTAGTGATTCGACAGTCAGGCGGACCCAAAAAAAAACTCCTTGTGCCCTGAGCACAACTTCCCTAATCAATTCATGCATCTCCATCGAGGCAGACGTTGCGAGCCATCGATAGCTGTCCGATGATAGGGTCCTGGTGAGTTTGTCTTCGACGTACCGAGTAATGTCAGACATGGTAAGATCCTGAAGTCTCAAATGTGGAGAGGTCTTGTAAAGAGAATCGAGACATGCAGATGGTCGACTTGCGATGCATATTTTCGTCTTCTGACGGTCTCGGAAAACCCCAATAATATCTCCTATGGCTTCGAAGTGATCCTCCACGCCCTGAAATTCGTCAAGGCCGCCAAGGAAGAGGCAGATAGGATCGCATATCATTTGGACCAGCGACTGGAGAATCCGCCGCAGCTGCTTTTGGGTCCAGACAGTAGGTAAAGGTGGTGAGATCTTCTGCAACATGGTCGACCAGATTTGGACCGAGGTGGAAACATCCACTAACTTGAGAATTTGCCAGATTATAGAACGTAGAAGCCCAACTTGATTCTTCTGGAGGTCGACCCCTGCTTCCCAGAAAAAGAAATTAATGAAAGCGGTTGTTGGCCGGCGAATTTACGTTTAAACGCTTCTCGTGTTCGCTCATCCTGGACCACAAAGTTCATCAGAGTACTCTTGCCCGATCCGGCTTTTCCCAAGATCCAGTAGATTGGATTGTCGTCTTGTGTCCACAACATAAAATTGTCCCATGGGCATTTGGTATGTGCAGTACTGTCGAAAATCCATTCAAAGGTTTTCCTGTGTGCGTCGTCGATGGTGTCCTGCCGCTGGTTAATCTCGGAAAAGTACAAACTTTCCATGAAGCTATCAAAGTTTGCCTGAGCTGTCCTGGCATCGACAAAATCGTCGAATTTTCTGTCGATGTGGCGCGCCGCGTGATATTGTGTTCTAGCATTGTGTGAGCTTTGACGTCTTCAGCGGTCGTCTTGATGAGGCTGTCAATCCTAGTATTGCCGGCGACAATCTCCGAGTAGATCTTCCGCTGCCAGTCGTTTAGTTGATCCAGGACATTTGTCTGCTGCGCTGCCAGAGTTCCCAGGTTCTGGCTAGAATAGCTCATCAGTACACATCAATGGATGATCATTCTGGGTCAGCCAAACAGGAGTAGTTGCACCTTGGAAGAGCCTCGTAAGAGATACATACCTTAAATGGACCAGGATTGTAGAATCCAACACTCTGGCACATTCGTCGAGTTTGCGCTTCAACGCTTCAATGTGATCTGATTTCATCTTGGCTCTGAAAGTTTTGGTCCAGGCGGAAAGCCTGCTAGAACCAGGTTTAACCCGTGATCTTTTGCAGCTCATCCTCGAGATCTTTTGCTGCCTCGATACAACTTCTGCTCAGCTTGGCAAGATCCACCCCACTCTCTAGGAGCGGGAATTTGGAGGCATTTGACAATGAGTCCTGCAGAGAGTTGTGACATTTCAGTAGGTACTGAGTGCTGTCTCGCAGCTCGTCGGCCCTTGCTGTTGTACCAAGTTTGCGAAGTTGCGCGAAGATTTCGTAGACTTTCCGCGAAGCATCAACGACCTGAATCACGTTACATGCCAGCCCAAAGGCGACCAATGCTTCCATACTTCCGAACTTGAGCTCTCCGCTGTGGAGGGAGAGTAGATTGCCGCCTTTGAATACTCAGCCTTATACGAGAAAGTAGCAGGGCACTCGCCCTATAACCCCTGGCTTGAGGCCTCTGACTGCAAATTGGTCGCTGGTGTATGAAGAGGATGATATTTGAAGAGCGAGATGAATTCTGGATGATGGAGGAAAGAGAGGGAGAAAGAGAAACAAGGAGAAAGCAGAAGAGGTGAAGTGGTGGAAATGAGGCTGATTTCACGTCCACGCGCCACGTCAGGCATTAATTCTGAGTAGCACCGCCTCCTGCCCAATCGGGAGAAAGAGCTTTACAAGGCAGAAAAGAGCAAGAATAATATCCTACAGAGAGCAAGGGAACCGTAGAGAGGAACAAACAAACAACAAAACAGAGAGAAACCTCACAGGTGTCGGGCTGAATCCTGTTATTTCGGTATCTATCCCTAGGCTGCTATCTAATTGCATGACCATCCTTGACTTGTCTTCCTGCCTCTTCGTAGCTCTGGCAGGACAGAGCAACGCAAATCGATAACAATCCAGATGATTCGAATCCAGCCCACGGCTTGGTTCTTTTTTTGGGTCTTTTTTCTTTTCTTTTCGAGTGTTGAGGATGGGGGACTCGGAGCGAAGCTCACAAGCCCGCCCCCTCTCACCACAAACCTCTGCATACCGGCGAAATCGGATGCTGCATGCTGGAATCCGATCCACCAGAGGGATATGGAAGAGGGAGCCTTCTTCAAAGTGACGTCAATGGCGTGCTGACCTCTCGCAAACCCCGACTGTATGACTGGCTCGTGGGAGACATGCATTGAGAGCCCAATCATGAGTTGACGTACACAGCCGAGTCCTGTGGAAAGCAGCATGCCAGACATCACTTCGAAGGCGAGCTCATTCGTGTTGAGGTCAGGTCCGTTCCATCTTGCCATCTCACCGAAGTGACTGCTTTCGACTTTCTCCGAAGATCAGTGAAGAGACAGTGACTGCGGTTGAAACGCAAAGTCTCCGAGGCGACAAAAGGGAAAGGCTGAACTGCGACAACGAACGAGGGCCTCAACATCCAAGCACACATCAACAGCAATCCATGAGATATCCCTCGAGACCATAGCTCAACAACAAAAAGGGGTCCGGGTTGGAAGAGCCTACACAACAACATCCAAGAAGGATGAAGGGGGCTCTAAAACCAACATGTATCCGAACGTCCCGTGCAAGACCTGCTTCGTCCTCGAGATACCACTTGCGATTCCCCTCTTGAACGAGAAGAATCAAGGGTATATAGATCGAAAAGACTTATAATTCCACTCCATCACGCGACTCCGGCTGCGATAAACCGGCACAGTGTTCTGATCGCAGCACCGAAAGCCTTGCTTGACACCCTGTCATAGAGTTGTGACAAGGCGCGACAGCCACTGTAGGGATGAAGGGCTATCGGAAGGTCGGCGGAGAACAGAACAGGGTATCTCTCGACCAAAGGACGAAAGAACCACGCTGCGCCACCGGAGAAGGGGCAGGGAAGGAACTCGAGTCCCTCGGTGCTGACCTTGAGGAAATCAATCGTCTTTGCTGTTGCTTGAAAAGTAAATGCCCGGGCATCTTCCTTGTTTCTTTCTTTCATTGCGATATTGTGCCCGGGCGGTGATCAAGCTGTGACAAAGAAGATGTCCTCCACAAAGCATATCGTCATTCAACATCACACGCGCATTACCAATGCCACCCTTTATGCTCTTTCATCACTGATGTTATTCAATCGGAATTCCATTATTCTTCCACACGTGTTCCATTAATCTCCACTGCGCCGCAACTCGTGACAGATTCGTCCGGTTGAACGTAACGTGAAGGTTTTCTGGTGCTCAAAGTGATTGTCGCACCTATCTCAATTTCTTTTTTCGGGCGGTCGTAGTACCGACAATGCAAATGCTCATTCCGTGTTTTCATCTCAGGCTCTATTCCAGATGCTTCCATGTTTGCTATCCATCTGCGACTGCTCCGACTCTTGGTACACTCGATGCCTCGCAAATCCCACCTTGGAGTCTTGATAGTTCTCCTCAAATGCTTCGGCTTTCTCTGGAGGAATGTACTTGGGGGGAGTGTACTGTGGCGCCGGTGACATTGGTCGTGGATTGTTGACATTGCCTAGTGGGATGTCCACAAATTCAGCATGTCGCCCCTGATCGTCAAAGCGAGAGCCACTACTTGTTCCAAGGCTCGAGGGGAATGCTGGCGCACCGCCTTCGCCACGAACCTTATCACGTCTACCCCAAAGCATCAGCGCTCGGACGATGCCCATAAGCACAACTGAAACCCAGACAAGCAGAATGACGGTTGAAATGATTGCTTCCGTCCGGATTGTATCCTCCACTTCATCGATAAATCTTGCGACGGCCTCGGAAATCTTGTCGCTTGTGGTGTCCCCTGGACTCGCGAGGAAAGAGTCAGAGGGGTTACTCGAGTCCGCCAGGCTGGCGACGGCGCCGAGGCTGAAAGTGTCGTTCGGAAGTAGGGGAAAGTCGATGTGCGCATTATCATGAACCCAAGTGAGGCCCTTTTCGATTCCCTGGATCTTGAGCAAGATCAGACAGTTAAGAACTTCCATGATGGGGTCGTACAATATAGTCCCGCCAAACGTGGTGTTGAGAACCTTTGTCGTTTCATCCACGAATGTGTTCAGTGTGTCATTGATTGCATTCGTGGATGTGTTGACCCAACCCAGCATATTTTGATTGATGTCCTTGCTTGTGGCGGCAATCGCTGCATTTGTGCCAATAGCCCATTGTTCGGATGCGTTGTTGAGCTGCGCAACCACTTTGTCAGAAAAGGCGCCCACCTGATTCGTGAGGTCTGGGACTTCCTTTTCCAGAGCATGGAGCAGCATAGCTTGACAGGCACAAGAGAACAAACCTGCTATGGCGAGAGCGAGCACAAACAAGGCAGCATCAGAGGTGGCGTATGCAACGACCCAACGAACCAGGTCCTTCTTGCGCTGAGACTGGAATGTGTTGGATAGCTTGATTCCAGCTGCCGAGGTGTAAGGGCGGCTGACCAGGTAGACAACTTCCAAAGGGTCACGAGCGTCAGAATTGATCAATTGACTGCGCTGTTGCATTTTCTGCCATCGCTTGATTTCGCGCCACGCCATTGGGACCATAGCGAGGAGTGCTAAGGTAAGCAGCACGCCAATGAAAATTCTGCGTGCGAGAGCAGCCACATCGACCAGCCCGTCAAAGAAGTCATTGATCCCGTCGTTGTCACTGCAGAATGTAAGTTGTTCTTTTGCGGGGACCGGGAACAAGGATCTGTTGAAGGTATAGTTGCCCATATATTCGTTCATGAGCTGTTTGACTTCTTCAAAGGGTAGGCGGATGATGCTTTCTGTAAAATTCTTGACCTGGGCAAAAGTAGGAATAGAGTTGTTGAGTTTCTGCAGGTCGGCGTCAAGGTTGGCTGGTAGTTTGAGATTTTTCAGCGAATTCATTTCGGAGGTGAGATTGAGAGGAGTCGGCTGGTCAACAGTTTGTCCGAAGGCAATAAAGCTCTCGAGTTTACCGATAAAACTGTTGTAGGCATCCTCGAACGTTTTGACAGCGCCCGACAAGTCGTTCCCGAGATTTTGGGTGAGTTTGTTGAGACCATCTTGAGCAGAGTCGAGGGTTCCGATGACGGAGTGCAAGCTGCCGCTGACAGCAAAAGTGATCAGACAAAGGTAGGTGTTGGTCATCATGCCTATCACGAAGACCACAATCTCTTCCACTGCCGTGACACTCATGGTGGTCATCTGAATCAGACCGTTGACCGACTTTTCGATCCCGGAGGCCGCCACTTCGTTCACGCCCTGAGACATGTAGTGAGGCATAGAAGCCATGGCGGACCCCATTGACTCGACGTCGGAACAGGCAGACAGTGCTTCGCGTCGTGCAGAACCCAGATTGCTGTCAATCCCCGAGATTGCGATGAGGGTGCGAGCCAGAACAAGTAGGAGGAGAATGGTCCATCGATTGAGCCATATCTGTGATAATCGAGCCCGGAGGCCAAGGTAGGGTGTGATGGATGGTGCAGTGTGTGGTAGCGGCCGAGGTGGGCCTTGGTCGGAGTAGTAGTCTCGTATCTCATGGCTGCCGGCAGGCATGGATGGAGGAACGCCAGCCACAAGGGCCGACGGGGCAGACATGGTGCAGAGATCGACGGGAAATTATCTAATATCCGAGTTCAAGTAAGTATGTGGGTCGACTTGAAGGTCTTTTTCGATATGTGGAAGTAGACGGAATTTCGGGAGAAGAGAAGGAAACCGAGTCGGTCAAGAAGGTGGTGATACAAGTGACAAGGCAGGTTAATTGACAAAGGCAGTCATCAAGACTTGAGGCAGAGAGAATGCTATTTATGACACAAACAAAGGAGATTCGTGACATGCAAGAAAGAAGCAGCAGCCAGCAACAGAGAGTCAAAGTGAATGGAGAACAATACACAAAGGATGGTGACAGAGGGAGTAGAACAATAAGAACAATAAGACTCAATAGAAATGGTGAACAGAATTCTGCCAGTACGTACCGCTTTTCCCATCGACCTCGACCCCCATGTTGCGGGGCGCACCACCAACATGTTACAAGAGGCTCTTCTGAACCTTCAGACATAGATTGAGCGTGTTTCAAAAGAGTTGCCGCATGTGGTGCTGCAGGATTCATATCGGCTGGTGGTGATGTTTCCAGACTCAAAATTGGCGCGCAGTCCAGAAATAGCGCCACCAGGCTGAAGAAGCGCCCACCAACCATCTCATTGACGCTGCTTCCACGTCCGACACGCGCTCGCACGTGGTCACCGATATTGAAACAAGATGGCGCAGTAGACTCCTCTTCAGATTGCCTCGCCATCTCCCCAGCTGCCACCAACACCCCGTTCCAGCACCGCAAGGACCCGTCATGGTAGTGACGTAACTCGGAGAACATGAATTGCCGCCGAGGACGTAATCAGGCGTAGACCGACGGACGCAGCGCAGGAGGAGGTGGTGGTGCAAGACTGGGAAGGGAGACACCGACGAAGCAATCCGATATTCTCAAATGGTGCCTATCGAGAGGAAAACAATCGACGACAAGGTGAGACGAGAAGCAGGGTTTTAAATGATCGTCCAAGTTTCGGAGGAAATCAGCCACGGAATCGGCAACTTGTTTTTCCTGTGGCGTTTAGGGAAGCGGGGCAGCAGCCACGGTGATGTCATTGCTTAATTCAGATCTCTGTGAGCTTTACTATTTTAGTCCTAGTGGCTCTTCTTGCATTGATCTTCCATCCTCCCACTGTATCAGCCACGCGACGAGGGCTGCATGCAACAGTTGGTACCTACGGTGCTTGCACAGTAGAAGTCGAATATCTCATGCGCAGAAACCCGACCCCCCTATGTTAACTTGAAGCTATGTTGATCGACAATGCGAGGCGTCGAACGTCACTAGCACACCCACGTCATTCCCTGTAATATGGAGAGGTCGTACATCATCTCGGCCGGCTCATCGTCTGTGTAAGAAGTAGACCCAGCACAGCCTCATGTCTGGCAACGGAAGACACTCTGCTCCATTGCAGTTGGCTCACAGACCTGTAAATGGCGGGCACGGGAAACTTGGTCGAGGGCCCAAGTGCGAATAATAGTCAGGGCGCGAAGGAGGCGGCGATTCACACCAACAAAGACGTGTGTAAGTGTACAGCGATATCATGCGAAGCTTTGCAAGGCCGACGTTGATTCCGGATCAGGTGAGTCACAAGCATGTGCGAAAGCTGGCCAAGACAGTTCGGTGAGCAGTCATCCGGACGTCGAAGAGGCGAAAGCATGGTCGTCGAGGGAGTTCAGAGGTCATCCAGCAGCGGCGTCGGAATTCCGTTCACGAGCCAGGTCACGCTTGGTCCACTCAACGCGCCTCATCGTTGCTCACCTTGACCTTGGCCACCTTGTTGTTGAGCTGCCATGGCGGCATACCACATCTGAAGGTAGTTCTGGTAGCCACCATATGCAGCATATGGGTCTGCCTCCCCTGCCGCTGGGGGTGGTGCAACGCCTTGGGCAATACCACCGGCAGCGGGAGGATACACAGGCTGCTGTCCGGAATACCTGTCCGTATAGTCGTCGCGACTTTCACGTTCACGAGCTTGTGTCCGAGCACGCTGAACCAAATTAGTAAATATGCACCACCAAGTGTCACGCCCAGGGGAACCACCTACCACAACGTCGACTTTCTCCATGATCGCACGTTTGGCGGCATCAATGGCGTGCCGGCTACCGATAAGACCAATTTCGCGTTCAATATCTCGTCCAGCAGCAGGCGAGACATTGATCTTACACCCTGTTTGATTCTGCATGTCACGGATGGACTCACCCCCTACAGGGAGATTAGTCAGACGTTGCACTTCAAGCTGGTAAGCGGAAACATACCTTTGCCGATGATCATACCCACCGCTTCGCCGGGTACAACGATACTATCGTTAATCTTGCCGTGCGAGTCCTCTCGCTCACGGTGGAGATCTTTGATGCTGATACCTTTCTGATCACTCTCTACAATCTCAAGGATCAAATCTCTTGCATATTGCTGTGCCGACGCACTGCCAATCAGATTGACCGGTCGCATACCATTCACGCTCTTGTTTTCTCCAACGATGTTGACATGGCATCCACTTCGATCTTGTAAATCTCGAATAGTTTCTCCTCCTCGACCGATAATCAAACCCACGGTGCGATCGGGGACCATCATTTGAAGGCTGTCGCCTTCTTTGGTACTCGTGACCTTGGTTTGGTTGGTGCGGGGCTTGTCCTGACCCCTCTTCACAACTTCGTTGTCGTCAATGATCCTGAAAATCTCGGCCTTGGCCGCTGTCCGGGCCGTTCGACTGCCAGATATCCTGCAGTGCCGTTGAGGTCCAGGCACTTCGGGTCCATCCATGAATTGTACCCGAGCGCCTGTTGTGTTTTCGACTCTGCGTAGATTTTCTCCAGAACGTCCGATGATAAGACCTACCACACCTTTGTCGAGAGGTAGAATTTCTGATTCGCCTTCACCTCCTCGGTCAAGCCCAGGTGAGCGATCATCTCGATATCGCCCAGGAGAATAACGTCCGCCTCTTGGAGAAAAGGAGCGCTCTCTATTGTAACCGCGCTCGTTCCCGCGTCGTTCATCCCTGTAAGTATTGTAGGCATCGCGATAGCCCTCGCGGTGGGGGGGAGACCGAGAGGGTGACCTTGAGCGTCGGTACGTTCTACTTCCAGTGCGAAGATCTGATGGGTTCATAGGTGCTAGAAAAAAAAACTGTCAGTTGGCGCCTCAAACGTTTGGACCGGTAGAACATACGTCTACTAGGATCATAAGAGATGCCCTTTTCGGCAGCGATGCCCCGAGCTTTGGCGACAGCATCGGCAATGCTGACAGAGCCGGAGCTGACTGGCTTTATGTTGGTCAAGTCGACACTCCCGGAGTGTATGGGCTGAGGGAGTCCGTAGGGCGGTGCGCTGCCGGGGGGAGTGGCGTATTGAGGTGGAGGGTAAGAGGCACCAGGAACAGGTGGAGGGGGAGCGGTTTGCGGAGTGCTACCTTGCCTCTGTGCCGCCAGCGCGGCGAGGATATTGCTAAGGTCTGCCATCAACCTTGAATGTGCAAGAGTGCAAAAAATGTCAGGTCGCAACAACCAGAGACAAACTAGGGTAAAAGAGCACGCAGTCGAAAAAGAAATCTTATTCAGAACCAACGAGGTGGATGTTGGTGCTATGAGTTTCAGGTCAGAAAAACCCAGGCGCTGCAGCCACTTTCTGGCGCAGGTGGGGGCTTTGAATTTGGTCAAGATCACGTGCTTGGACTAACCGTAAAGAGGTACATACCAAACTTCTCAGCCTTGGGAAGTAACAAAGCTAGTGGGCAGCCTGGTTCCAACGTTGTTACTCGCTTCGCAACACAATCAACTATATTTTGATGGACAACGCATCGTATGGCGCGTCACCTAACAAGCAGCCCACTTGTCTCCACGACATTGGGATATTCCTGTGCACTAAACTCTCGTCCGTGTCTTGAGGAGGGCTTTGTGCTCAATAAATCTAACAGCGTCCCAGTGCTTTGGCCAGAAACAAAGAAAACTCCAGCACTGATGTAGGTTGAAAGTGCCTAGCTAGTGTAAAGGATAGAGCACTGTGCAAAATTAACCAGCAATACCGAACCGTGAGGCCACTAGCTTTCTCTCGATTTCCGAATATATGCGTTCACAAAATATACCGATTTCTCATGACCTGGGGCACTCGTAACCACTGCAGCGATGTGCACCTTAAGAAATTCAGAGCACGTGTCCATTTCGTGCCGGTACTCTTCAAAGGCCTATGTTGTTTTCTCGGCCTGTTAGCCGACTGTGATGAATCTCATTCACAACCTAAACCGCAACTCCGTGCCTCCAAAGCACTGAAACCGCGTCTTTTGTAAAGAACTGCAGACAGAAGCTCTTCTCAAAGAGGTCCATGCCGGCCTCGCTCTCTGGCAATGTCAAGCGCGTAAGCAGCTCTCCGAGTCATCACGAGACGCATGCTGATGTATTTCACCACTGGCAGGTCAGACAACAAGTCCGAACAGCAGGACGAAACCACGCAACACACTCTGAGGCACTCCCACGCATTTGTGGCTCACACCTCTTCGTCCTTGAAAGATTCAAAACTCCTGTGGCCCTCGAAAGGGTCACGGGTTCACACAGTCGGCGTGCAGGATGAGGAGCTGGTTGCTGTGACTCGCGCTCTGGGCGATTTATTTCAGGGTAGGGATGCCGAACAAGTCCTTGCTGGCTTTTGCCAGAAGATATTCCTATTATTCCAGACAGACACAAAAGCACTGGGTATAGCAAGTGTCATCGCGGAGCAGCTCTTCAAGAGTTTCGACGACAAAGGGTCATTTGGACGAGAAACGATGCCCATGGGCATCCAAGGAGTCCAAGAATTAAATTGGACCACCCAGAACGAAGAGCTAGCTCCCCTCCGCAAAGAGTATCAAACCAGGGTCAAGGCTGAGGGTGGCCCATTACCACCGTTCTCCATGACAGATTCAAAAGGAAACCAGCTTCTCTTTGCTGGACTGGAGGAGGAGACGCTGATCATCATCGATAAGACAATGCTATCAGCAGGTCTTGTCAGATACCGCCATCATACTTTCGACATAGGCGTAAACCGGGCCAAATGTTCGTGGCAGCTGTTCGTCAAAATCAAACACCGAGATTTTTTGCGCTCGTGGTTTCGCACTAGTGCAGCACCAATTGTAAGTGTTGAAAGTCCGTTCCGATGAGCGAATCCTTCAGGCTGACTCCATGCAGCAAGATATGGCTGTGGCTATTATGACGGCAATGCGAATCTTTTCGGAAGCCCGTTATTTCATCAATGAACCTGGCAGGCGAACAGAGGCAGTCATTTTGGTGGAAACAATCAGACGAGGGGAGTTTTACATGAATTCGACCGTGATTGATGATGATGAAGGAACTCCCGCTGCTCCGGGAACGCTCACCCCTAGTGATTCTGTCGTCTCGGCGCATGATGGCAGTGAACACAATGTTTCTGCCAGTCCAAATTCTTGTTCACGCTCAGATAACTCCCATTCACGACCAGCCACATCTTCGTCTTCGTCATCTTCTGGTTCTTCTTCCTCATCAAGCACAATGGTCAAACGGTCGATCCCAGATTCCACTGTGAATATGCAGGCCAGTTCCACAAAGAAGGGCAAAAAGAAGCGGTCAACCAGAAAGAAACCGCAGAAAAAGACGGCACCTCTGGACCAGACGCAGGCAAACGAAAGCCCAGGAGACAAGAGCTTGTCTGAGATCGTGGACAAGATGGCAGACGCCAAACTCGACGCACCGACCGATATACCACCATCAGCGTCTGCTGTCCAGCATGATGGAGGCAGTCCTACGGAGAATTCGAACGTTCCTACCTCGATGAAAGTGAAGCGGAAGGCTAAAGACGAGGAACTCCGTCAGGCTCGAACAACCGAAGGGCTGGGAAGGGGCCTCGGTGATACTATTTCTCGACGTTCGAGTGATTCTGACCGAACGGTAACTCCAGCAGATTTCTCCAATAAAGATGTCGCCGAGGATTCTTCTAGCAAAGGTCAACAAGGGATCCAAAAAAGTGGAGATGATGATGCAGTTCTTGATACAAAGGGCAAAGGACATACCAAGAAGGAAGACAACAACACCACAACCACTTTGACTGAATCGGTCTCCCGCGAGGTATGCTCTTAATCCTTTGTGTCATTTGGCTGATCACTGACCCAGAGTTTGCAGCAGCGTTCCCAGCCTGTGGACCAGGGGCCTCAACACCCTCCTGCTGCGTTCAAGTTCGACAGCTTTGATCCACGTCTGCGGTGTTTGAAACCCGACTGTCGGAACATGACAAGTTGCTGGGGTGAGTTCGTGTTGCGACCTGACGCGGCTGAGGTCAAATTCCAACATGGAAGCCATGCTAACCTTGGGTAATATATTAGATTGCGCCGTAGTCATCTGCCCTGCCTGTGGCACTGACAGCTTCACCCGCTACTGCAGAAAGCAGCACCTGTACGACGACATTCAACGCCACTGGGCCATGGAATGCGGAAGGAACAAGATCAAGGGACCGATCGACCGGAACACAATTCGCCCCAAACAACTCCCCAAGCGTCCCTACACTTTTGGCCAATACCATGACATGGTCGAGCGTCACAGACAGGCGGTATACCGCGCGATGGAGGATGCTGACTTCTTCATCTTCAACGACGTCGAGATGCTTGACGACAGCATAGTGCAGCCGACACAAGAGCAGTGGAATTCGGTGCGCGGAACAGGTGCTGCGGTGTTACAGATTATCTTTCCCGATGACATGACGCCGCACTCCGACCGGCAAGTTTTCAACTACCACATTCAGCGCATCTTGTCGGTAGGCAAGCCATTGGCCGAGGACAGTTGTATGAGAGCGATGGAAATGATTCGCTCGGCGCTAGTCATGTCGGGCAGCTGGAGGGAGGAGGTATTGACCTACCTGTGCATGCAACTGACAGGTGAATGGGGCAATTTCAAGGTGCCAGAGCGCTTTTACAACGTCGAGCAAGTCAATGGAATGTGGCAAATGCATCGTGTGCTCATGGCATGAGTTCTGACGGCCGCGGCCGCCGGGTGAGAAGGAGGTTTGCTTGAGCATTGTACGATAGAACGTTGAGCTGCGATCAGAGGGGCGATGAGAGCCAGACATAGTAACAGAGAGAAACCCAGCCTTCAGAGGCATTGGGATAGAACCCAAAGATCAACAAAGACGCCGTCGATTCCACCGTTGTAGGGGGTTGTTGTATCTTGTCGCCTTCCTGTCTCTTGACCATCAAGATCCATTGCTCCCGACTCTTGTCCGAGCTGCAAAGTGTATGTCATAGTCTTTCAACAATGTAGCGCTCGTGTTGTCGGCCGCCGACTCTCCAAATTCGCGGGATTCCCAAAGGCTTCAGCGGGTATTCTGATGGCATCAGGTAATAGCTCGATAGGTATGGGGTTGTCCGATCATATTGACGGCGACAGAGAAAAACAAAGTAAGTGCCGTACCAGTTGTTATCGGAGGTCGCCGCTCGCACATCAACAACTGGAGTGGAGAAGAGGGGTTGAGCGGGCGAGTGACCCATGTCGACCATTTCCACTGCGCTTCATTCGCCCACTCGCACCACAGGGAACTTCCATCTCACAGCATCGATGAACGTCAGATGGCTTTACGAGATTGGTGAGATATCGTCTGGTTGCAATTGTCTCCTGTCTGATTCGTGCATTGTCGCCCATCGCGTCCCATTTCCCTATCAATGCCATGTAATACATCGCTCCCGCACTGACCAAAAGCTTCAGGGACTGGCTGATAAGGATCTGGTAGTCTCGAACAAGTCTGTCCTGTCTTTCCAGCTTCATTTCTTCGTCGGGCTGACTTCGTACGACATTTGATCTCGCCCTTGAATTCTCTAATTGCCTTCATCTACCTCCCAAGTCATAGAAAAGGCCGGAGTTGGAATGCTAACCTGACAGGGCACCTCCATTCCTTTTCTTTCCCTCCCTCATTCTCAATCATCCTGCCGACCACGTATAGTCGAGATGGCGCCTGGCGTCCTCGAACCAGCAGCGACTGCTGAAAAGGTTGTTTCGCTCGCGTCCCTTACCGAAAGCTACGACGACACACTCCGCTTCTACCTCAATGGCACAAAAGTCGAGCTGGACTCGGTAGATCCAGAGATTACATTACTCGAATATTTAAGAGGAATTGGATTGACAGGGACAAAATTAGGCTGCGCAGAAGGTGGTTGCGGTGCTTGCACCGTCGTCATCTCCCAATTGAATCCCACGACGAAAAAGATATACCATGCTTCGGTCAATGCATGTCTGGCTCCTCTGGCCAGCGTGGATGGCAAGCATATAATCACAATCGAGGGCATTGGCAGTTCAAAGAACCCACATCCTGCACAACAACGAATTGCCATGGCCAGTGGAAGTCAGTGCGGGTTCTGCACGCCAGGAATAGTCATGAGCTTGTATGCCTTGCTCAGAAACCATGGCCCCGAACCATCTGAGCTGGAAATCGAGGAGAACTTCGATGGCAATTTGTGTCGATGCACGGGTTACAGGCCTATCTTGGACGCCGCTCAGAGTTTCAACAAAGCATGTGGCAAGTCGATCGCAAACGGCGGCTCTGGGTGTTGCATGGAGAACGGCGGCTCATGTAGTGGAGAGACGCACGGTGCGGATGCAGCAGTTGAAAAGAAGTTCACGCCTCCATCTTTCATCCATTACGACAAGTCCACGGAGTTGATATACCCCCCAGCTCTGAAGAAGCACGACTTCAAACCGTTGGCTTTTGGCAATAAGAGGAAGAAATGGTATAGACCTGTGACTCTCCAACAATTACTCGAAATCAAGAATGCCTATCCGGGCGCCAAGTTGATTGGCGGGAGCACAGAAACCCAGATTGAGATCAAATTCAAAGCCGCACAGTATTCGGCGTCAGTGTATGTGGGAGACATTGCGGAACTTCGACAGTACTCCTTTCACGATGACTATCTAGAGATCGGCGGGAATGTTGCCTTGACGGATCTGGAGACTATCTGTGACGAAGCTGTCAAACACTATGGAGCTGTCAAGGCCCAGCCATTCAAGGCCATCAAGAAAGCCATCAGGTATTTCGCGGGCCGCCAAATCCGAAATGTTGGCACTCCTGCAGGGAATCTGGCGACGGCGTCGCCCATCTCTGATCTCAATCCCGTCTTTGTTGCCACGAATTCGACCCTCATTGCGAAGTCTCTCACCAAAACTACCGAGATTCCGATGGCTAGCTTCTTCAAGAGATATCGGGTGACTGCATTGCCAGAAGACGCTATCATTGCAGCAATGAGGATCCCTCTCACCGCCGAGAAGGGAGAGTACGTCAGATCCTACAAGCAATCGAAGAGAAAAGACGACGATATCGCTATCGTCAATGCATGTTTGCGAGTGGCCCTGGATGACGACTACAAAGTAAAGAATGCCAACCTGGTGTACGGGGGCATGGCTCCTATTACCATCGAGGCCAAGCAGGCGTCTGAGTATATTGTGGGAAAGACATTTACAGATCCACAGACGCTGGAGGGAGTAATGAACGCATTGGAGCATGACTTCAACCTTCCATTCGGTGTCCCAGGAGGAATGGCTTGGTACCGCAAATCTTTGGCACTGGGTTTCTTTTATCGCTTCTATCAGGATGTTCTTCTCAACATTGAAGAAGCTAGCAAAGGTGCGGACAAAGAGGCCATCGAGGAGATTGAAAGAGAAATTTCGCGAGGCCAGAAGGATCATGATTCGTCTGTTGCCTATTCGCAGAAAGTTCTCGGGAAGGAACACCCACATATGGCCGCATTGAAACAATGCACTGGCGAAGCCCAGTATACAGACGACATTCCAGTGCAGAAAAACGAGCTTATCGGCTGCCTAGTCTTGTCAACCAAAGCACATGCCAAGCTAATCAACGTCGACCCAAGTCCAGCTCTCCAGCTTCCAGGCGTCATTGCCTGGGTCGACAGGAATGACTTTGCCGATCCAAAAGCGAATTGGTGGGGTGCTCCTGTTTGCGATGAAGTTTTCTTTGCCGAAGATGAAGTGTTTACGGCCGGTCAACCCATCGGCATGATCCTAGCAAACACTGCCCAACAAGCCGCTGCCGGTGCGCGGGCCGTGCTGATCCAGTATGAGGAGCTACCAGCCATCTACACCATCGAAGAAGCGATCGAGAAGCAAAGCTTCTATGAACACTACAGATATATCCGCAGAGGTGACGTGGAGAAAGCATTCAAGGAATGCGATTTTGTTTTCGAAGGCACGTCGAGAATGGGTGGCCAAGAGCATTTCTACCTGGAGACCCAGGCTTCTCTGGCGATTCCAAAGCCGGAAGACGGAGAGATGGAGATCTGGAGCAGTACTCAGAATCCATCCGAAACACAAGCATACATTGCAAAGGTGCTCGGCGTTCAATCAAACAAGATTGTCTGCAAGGTCAAACGTCTGGGTGGCGGCTTTGGCGGCAAGGAGACTCGAGCTGTTCAGCTCGCCACTATCTGCGCAATTGCGGCAAATAAAGTCAAGCGACCGGTCAGATGCATGCTCAACAGGGACGAGGACATCATGACTTCTGGGCAGAGACATCCTTTCTTGGGCATTTGGAAAGTTGGGGTCAACAAGGACGGGAAACTGCAGGCACTCAAAGCCAACATCTTCAACAATGCTGGTTGGTCCCAAGATCTGTCTGCTGCGGTTGTTGATCGAGCACTATCGCATATTGACGGATGCTACAACATCGCCAATGTGGACGTGGACGGTCGCCTCTGCAAGACAAATACTGTTTCCAATAGTGCTTTCCGTGGCTTCGGCGGTCCTCAAGGCATGTTTATTGCTGAGTCGTTCATGGAGGAGATCGCAGACCATCTGAAGATCCCCGTCGACAAGTTGCGAGAAATCAATTTCTACAAAGACGGTGAAGAGACACACTTTAATCAAGCGCTCGAGGATTGGCATGTGCCATTGATGTACAAGCAGATCAAAGAATCCGCCGACTACGACGCCCGCCGGAAAGCGGTTGATGAGTTCAATGCGACGCACAAATGGCAAAAGAAGGGGTTGGCAATCATTCCGACAAAGTTTGGCATTTCATTCACCGCCCTCTTCCTCAACCAAGCCGGTGCCCTGGTTCACATCTACCATGACGGTTCCGTCCTCGTTGCCCACGGCGGTACCGAGATGGGCCAGGGGCTACACACCAAGATTTGCATGATCGTGGCCGAAGCACTGCAGGTACCTCTCACAGATGTGCATATCTCAGAGACGGCGACAAACACTGTTGCCAACGCTTCAAGCACAGCGGCATCGGCGTCATCGGATCTAAATGGCTATGCAGCTTACAACGCGTGCATGCAAATCAACGAACGCCTGGCTCCATATCGCGAAAAGTTCGGCCCCAACGCCACTATGAAAGAACTGGCCCATGCGGCCTATTTTGACCGTGTCAATCTTTCTGCGAACGGCTTCTACAAGACTCCTGATATCGGATATGTTTGGGGCCCGAACCCTTCTGACCCAAGCTTAGAGAACACGGGAATGATGTTCTTTTACTTCACGCAGGGTGTAACCGCGAGTGAAGTTCTTATCGACACTTTGACCGGAGACTGGACTTGCCTACGGTCAGACATCAAGATGGACGTTGGGCGAAGTATCAACCCGGCGATAGACTACGGCCAGATCGAAGGTGCATACGTCCAAGGTCAAGGTCTCTTCACCACCGAGGAATCTCTTTGGCACAGAGCCAGCGGTCAGATCTTCACGCGCGGGCCTGGTGCTTACAAAATTCCTGGGTTTAGGGATATTCCCCAGGTCATGAATGTGTCTCTTCTGAAAGATGTAGAATGGAAAAACCTACGCACAATCCAGCGCTCGCGAGGCGTAGGGGAACCTCCTCTGTTTATGGGGAGTGCAGTCTTCTTCGCCATACGAGACGCCCTCAAGGCCGCGAGGAGACAGTACGGAGAAGACGACGTGCTGAGCTTACGAAGCCCTGCAACGCCAGAGAGGATCCGGATCTCGTGCGCCGATCCTATTCTGAAGAGGTGCTTGGTTGAACCAAGAGAGGGTGAAAAGAGTTTCTTCGTCTCGATATGAGACAAAAGAGAGTAGAGGCATGTCATCTCTACTGGCACACACAGAGGGGACCTGATGAGTGCCAATAGAGCATGAGGTATCGGTTACCTGTGGTGGTAGTATGGTGCAGATCTGGTAGAGGAGATCTATATCCCTACCCCGTGGCACACGTACATACCTACTTACGTCTTACATGCATGACGCATCTATGTCAGAGCTACAAAGCTGCAAAGCCTGTTTGCGCACAGGTCACATATTCGATTCAGTTTTGTGTTCAGAATTATAGGACAGATACTTAACTCTCCATCGTTTATTTCATTTTCGTGACAAAAACACGTCCCAGCGTTTCATGTCGACAAGCGCGCCTCGTCGTCGTAATCATCATCCAGACCCGTGGAGGTCGTAATGCGTGTGTGTGTATGTCTCTCTCTCTTTGCAATCCAAGGGGAAATCTCCCCAGTTCCAACAAGCCCGCACGTCCTACCGTGTGACTTTTCGTGTGTTATGCCATGGAACGGTAGGACATTGTTCCCCGACACCTACCTACCCATAGCAAGAAGCCAGCCCTGCGCAAGACTCAGCACTATGCAGAGCCACCAACACCGACACCGACACCGGATGCGGATGGTGGTGGTGAGAGGTCGACCGCGATGCGAACCGACTTCTTTGGCTTTTCACGGTTCTGCTGCGACCCGACACCGAAAATCGAGACTGGGCTCTGTTGTCCTGCCCGCCGCGAAAGTGCAGGCGCAGGCGCAGGCACAGGCATCCATGGCGAGGGGGAAGGCGAAACGGGATTCGGTCCAAAAGCCACCGTCTTGCCTTTGATATCCTTTTGCTTTTTCTGCTTCTTCGAGGGACGCTCGTCTTCCAGGCCCAGGATAAGATCGATGTCCTCTGCATCGTCGGTGTTGACAAGGCCATCGTCCCGTCTCGCGAACAACGCGACAGGCGCGTCTAGTTTTCCCCCTCTCATCTGCTCCTTTTCATCATCCGCAATCTTCAAAAATCCTTCGCCTCGAATGATCCCGTTCATTGTGCCGTCGTCTAGGAGGCTTTTCTCTGCCTTGACCAGCTCCGCATTGCTCATTTGTCGACGCCGCTTGAGGATCTTCTCCTCCAGGGTGCCTCTCAGAACGAGGGTCTCGACGTAGACAGGGCGTGTTTGGCCGATGCGATGCGCCCGCTTGATTGCTTGCGACTCGACGTCGGGCTGCCAGATGGGGGACACAATGAATATGCGGCTGGCGGCAGCCACGTGGAGGCCGTGAGAGGCTTGCTTGAGATCCATGAGCAGAACGCGAAACACTTCTGACTGGTTGAAGGTCGCGAGGTATGCTGCGCGGCGCGTCACCGAGAGTGTGTTTGCATAAATGAGGAATTTGACCGATAGCAGCTCAAGAGCCTCAGCTATCCAGAAAGCGATGTTGTTCGAGTCGTAGAAGATGATAATTTTCTCTGTTGACTGGAGTGTCAAGATTCGTGAGCAGAGGTAGTTGAGCTTCGCAGATGTGAACCCGACAATACGCGATTTAGCCAGGGCTGCTGGAAGGACGTGATGATCTGGCATGAATAGTCGCTTTCTTGGTGATTGGAAAAGTTCGGGAGCAATGTCTCTCGCTGAAGAGCGGACAGGAGACGGAGTAGCCGATTGGTTTTTGACCTTGGGTTCCTCCATTACGCCCGCTGTGGGAGGTTTCTTTCCAGTCGAACTCGAACGGACTTTATCTCTGGCTTGTTGCTCTTCCGTGGCTCGTTCACGAGCCATTCGCATTGCTCGAAGTCCTGCTCCAACAAGACCCATCAAGGGTCCCTCCGAGCCAAGATGGCTCAGCACATACTGCTGGACTTCTCGAGCTTGGACAGTTCCGAGGAGGACAGGGTTTGAGAGTTGGCCATCCAAGGCCCAAGATTTGGCAGCATGGTCAGGAAAGTCTTCGATATATACGCCGATTTCATGGTAGACCGAGAAAGCATGCCAACCCGAATCACTCAGGGCTCGATTACCATTCAAGATTGCCTCGCTCAGCAATGCCCCGTCTTCGCCAGAAATCTGGCCAAGGTGTTCGTCCATGTATTTGCGACTGACCCTTAAGGTCTCGACCACGTCATGTTTGCTGAATCCAACCCAGTGGAAGCTGGATCGGCGGAGGTTCATGATCAACTCATCGAGGGATTTGCGGTTCTTGGGATGGAACATATAGTCCTCGTCTATCCTTTCCGAAGTAACTGCATTGGAGGTCAGAACCAACCGGAAAAGGTTCATGCTGAGTTTGTCGTAGAAGCTCGGTTCCAGATAGACTGTGGTGTTGTGCAATGGAGGTAGGCAGAGATCGACATCGATATCCTCAATCCGATGGCGGATGATGAGGGACTGGAGAATTGTTCGCAGAGCCGGTACAAAACGACGTTTGCCAGATGCATCGAAAGGAGAGAGATATCTTTTCCAGTCGGCGTAGTCAGAGCCTTTTTGGTTTGCCCAGGGTTGTACCTTGAGAAACCTGACAACGATAGCGCGTAATCGTTCCATATCTTTGAGTTCTTCCGTCGATGTATCTGTGGCTTTTCTCCGTTCCAAGGCCGTCTCAATGGATTGTCTCCGTAAAGCCTCCATGCCTTGGTTGGTTTCGTCGAGTGCGAGATTAACCTCAACACCGTGAAGCGAGTGGGACGGTGTGCCAGACACGACCCACCGGCGTTCGATGGACATCTTGTCCAACATCGCCATTGCATGTGTTCGATAGCTTGAGCCAGCGAAGCCATGCCCCTCGTCGCAAATGACGCGCACCCATCGAACTTCTGTTAGTTGGGACCGAAATCTCTCCTGGCCCTTGAAACGTCTCCCTTGATTGAGATCATCATCTCTATATTCTTGTTCAAAGCGTGACTTGGTGATTAGCACAATGTCATGTCTTATCAATTCCCTCCAGTGAGGTATATCCTTGGTGGTCGAGTCCAGAACCAAAACGTCAAGCGCCTTTTCTTGTGTATGCATTTCTATCTCATGTTGCCATTGGACAAGAAGATTAGGTGGGACAATCAACAGTGTTGTACATGCAAGGCGCAGCACTCGGAGATCTTCTCTTTTCTTCCCTCGTCGGTCCGGCGTCGTTGGGTGGAAGATGGGTTCAACAAACTCACCATCATACTTGGCCAGAGCGTCCGTGCAGCTGTCAAAGTGGTATCCCTCTTTCTTGAGACATGCAAAATGGGCTTTCCACGGCACACCATTCTGTTTGATCGCTCTTGCTGCCAGGTCCAGCAAACTAGGTGTTCGTGCATTGAGCTCCGCAGCAGTTGCGTTCACTCTACCCTCCGGGATTGTAGGATAATGGCCCCTAGTTGCTAGGATCAGGGCAATGCATATCAGCGTCTTGCCGTAGCCCATGGTTTCGGCGAGGATGCCACCACGAGATTCACTATAGAGATGAGAATGACGCAGAAGAACGCCTTCATAGACATCTAGATAGAATGTTGTGCCATTGAGATCTCGGAGGGCCTGCTTTCGTGGGTCGAGAAACTTGGAAGGGTATATTTCCCTCTGGAGCATCGCGGCCACCGACCGCCTCTGGTAGGGATATAATGAGGTTTGTAGGCCGTTGATCTGGTTGTCAAATATGCCACGCATGGACCTCTGACTGTGCACACAAGAGCCCGCATCAACAAGGGAAGTTTGTGGCGAGGACAAGGTATTAAAGATGTAAAAGAGGGATTCCTGCTGGAAGTCATCTGGTTGCTTGTACGTCTGCAAGGGCAAAGCCGGGTCGTATTTACCATCCCACGCGTCCTGAGAAATGTCAATGAAGTCAATGAGCAGTTTCAGAACCTTTCTAAGATCCTTGATCGAGCCTCTAGTACTTCGGTTGACATCCTCTGGCAGTGCATAGACCCGCAATGAGGCACAATCAGGATGGTTGACATGTGGAAGCAGGAGAGTTCTGATCCATAGCCGTTTCTCGCCTAATTTCAGCAAAGGGTGAGGATGTGTAGCTTCTCCCGCGGGTCCAACCATTCTCCAGCTATCACTGAGCGCATTTTCAGAAGGGCGGATCAGGCGAACAGATCCAAGCGCGACATAATCGTCAGTAAAAGGCGTGGTCTCGGCGCCTAGTCGACTCGGGTTGTGGCAAGTTAAGTCCACAGTGCCAGCGATCCGGTGGGACGCCATCATATCTTTTTCAGAGTCCTAAGCACCATCAGCTTGACCTTGAGAGCTGCATGATGTGCGAAAGGGCATGTCTACCATGATGTTTGACTCCACATGTGAGGCGGAACTCTCAGTTGTCGAGGAGGTCAGGAAGAACTGATCCGTATCAAAGGATTGGTCTTCGTCGTCTTCTTCACTATCGCCACCATGACTCGAAAGTGCAGGAGGATTTAATTGGGACATGATAGAGATAGTCGAATAGAAGTCTCGTGGACAAGTTGATGTAGGCTGAGTCGGTGCCTTGAACCTTGAGTAGAGTTGGAACTGTGTGGGAGCTAGTAGGAAGAGTTTATATTTGTGTCTGACAGAAAGTTTGCAGAACTGCGGGCCACATTAGCTTTTAAGATTATGTCAGACAGCGGGGTTTCCGGGAATGCTGAATATTGCACTACAGCCTAGCAGTAAGTCAGGGGAAGTCTACGAGTCCAGCCTCCTTGATACCTGCGACATGAGGTGCATGGCAAGGCTACATCTCCAAGAACTCACTTCCTTCTTTACCGAGTAGAGAGGGAGAGAGAATGATGGAATTTCAACAAAGCTCTTTACCCCGCGTCTGAATGTTCAAATCTGCTCATAATAATATACCTCCGACACCTCGCCTAGTCTGTGCACAGGAAACCTCATATCCTTGATGAGGGTGCCCAACCAGAATTGATGGAACACAACCAGTCCAGGAAGAAGGAGAAATGCGGTCATGGTATCTCGACTCATTCGCCGGTTGTTCGGAAAAGCGAAGCCAATCGCTCCAAGTGGCTGACAAATCCAACCTCGACTTCCTTAGATATAGACAACCGTGACAACCTCGGAAGCCTCCCTCGTGTCTTTCGTGTGAATCCAATTCTTCCCACCCTGTTCGGCGGGAAAAAATCATCAACCAAACTCCTCTTTTTCTTCCACATCACGCCTGTAGCTCGCCTGTGTTTGATGCTCTTCAGCCACACACGACCCTCCCTGTTTAGAATGACGAACTATAATATCACCATTACCAGTGACGTCGTATGTCCATGGTGCCTCATAGGTCATGCGCGTCTGTCTCGCGCCATTGCAGAACACAAGAAGACGTATCCCGATGATAGCTTTCACCTGAAATACTTGCCTTTTTATCTCAACCCACCGCCGCAGCTGACCAGTGGGAGGGGTCCGGCGCCTCCTCCTTTTCCAGCACCGTCGCGCCCTAGGCGTGAAATGTACGCTGCAAAATTTGGACCTGAGCGCGCCAAGCAAATGGAAGCCATGATGACCCAGACCGCCCGTGCTGAAGGGTTCAACTTCAAATTCGGCGGTATGACCGGGCCTTCGAGGAACGGACACCGACTTGTCCACTGGGCACAGGGGAAAGGAGGCGAGGACTCCCAGAACAAGGTTATGATGGGTCTTTGGAGGCGCTATTTCGAGGAGGAAGTTGATATCACCACCCTGGACAACTTGGTGGATGTGGGATTGGAGGCTGGGCTGGGCACCAAGGAGGAGATCACCGAGTACCTGACTTCTGGCAAGGACGGGGAGTTGGTTGACAAAGAAGCAGAAGAGGCGCATCTGAAGGGCATCTCGGGTGTGCCCTTCTACGAGATCAACGATATGTGGGAGGTATCTGGCGCTCAGGATCCGCTAGCTTTCCAGAAACTGTTCCTCAGGTGGAAGGAGTTGGAGGCCAAGGGACAAGTGCCCACAGTTGATGCCGGCGCGAAGACTTCTGCAGGGAATGGCTGCTTGTGAGCATGAAGCCGCAGTGGCTGGAGCGAGAGATTGATCCAAGGGAGAGAAATCTGTTTCTGCGAGCCTCGTGGAATGAAGAAAATGTCACTGTCGCCAAGGAGACAACATCACAATGACAGTGACGTGATGCAGATTGATGGCAGCTAGACCCGTGAAGCCCACTGTGACTTGTCCATAGGTGAATATATGTCTCTTTGCCTGACTACCTCAAACGATACACTCTTTTGAAGGTATGATTTGGCTGTATAGTACATAATGTTCAAGAATTTCCCTCATCTTCTGGCCAGTTCCGTTGGGTATACAAGATGTCCGCTTGACAATGATTTACAGTACTTCATGCCCAGCCACCTGACTCTGCGAATCGCCATGTGTGGTAGACACCAGCATCTTAGTTTTAACTCGATGGCTTCTCATTGAGGGCTTGTTTCCACCGAATGGCTTTCAGCCGACCTGAAGGATCGAGGTCGGACTGCCTAGTCGCCGTCCTGGGACTCGATTGAGACAGCGATCGTGTGTAAGTCAGTCCTTCAGTTCCACCTTGTACCTCCTCAACCTTCCCGTTCCGTCCTTGACTTTGACTGCTGAGACCCTGGCAGTGCTGCCTCGTCACCAGCCACATTAAGTTGAGGATCACTCGGCGACGTGTGGTGTTCTGAAGTGTTTCCCTCGATGTGACTTTCGATGTCTCCGGAGCTGTTTTCCATCGTTGCTGTCGCCACTAACTCCTCGTCCCCCCTGATGGCCTTGTCGCTGTGTTCAATAGAGGTAACCCCTGATGAGATTTCCTGCAGGCCATCTCCAGCAGACTTCTTGAAGGTCCTGAGACCTCTGTAACTCTTGTCAACAACATCCGGCTCTTCCAAATGTTCCGGCAGGCCCAATGAGAGCGGGCTGCTGCGGTTGAGCGTCTCCAGTTTCGGGATTTGGTAAACTTCTTTCTCCCCGCTCTCGATCCAATTCCTCTGCACATGCTTCTCGAATCGGTCAGCCGCCTCTCGTAGATCACGCCAGGCCGCTTCTTGCTGCTCAATCATCTTCGCCCGCACGTTCTCATCATTCCATGCGTCCTCAAAGGAGCTTGATAAGGAGTAGTGTGTAGGCAGGTTGTATTTTTGCAACTGTTCGGCGTGCGCTGACCGGTACTTCGGAGATGTCATGACCAGCCATCGCAGTTTCCAGCCCAACATACCCAGCTCCTTTATTCGAGCAGGTTTCATTCCAGTGACATATTGATCTATACCGCCGCATTTGCTGATGGTCCTCATGACTCGGGCAGTAATAGGGATCTTGAGCTCCCTATTCAACGCTTCGCTCCTCACAGTCTCGACCCGGACATTAGGGAACCAATGTCGCAATGTCTTGCCCTTATTTCTGCCCTTGGATATCTTGCTCCCAGATTGTACCGTAGCGCCACCATAGAGACCAAAATTTGCTTCTGGAAATTGTTTATTCTCGCCGTAAGGGTACGCGGGCATCAAAGGGTCTGTGTGTCGCAACCGGTATACGTCCAGCAAGGTATGTTTCCTATCTTCGAGCTTAAAGGTGAATCTGGGCTTGAAGTACGGGTTTGAGTGTTTGACCGGGTGTCTGTAGGAGAGATATTGGAGAGAGGTAGGACTGCGGAGCACCTCGGGGAGCTTCGTGATCGTTGTGGGAGCTGCCATGGTGAAAGTGACACTACCGGGTCGAATTGAAGAAAGGACCAAGATAAAGGGGAGTAAAAGAGGTCCAGGAGCGCACAAAAAGCACCCGCGTGTGGCAGCCTGTGCAAAGCGGTGCTGTTCTTGGGTGCATCGAGTAAGAAAATAAAGCAGCACAATTGAGAAGTATTATGAACCTTGATGGATTTTAGCGCGCAATTCCCAAATTCTGGGGACTGTGCCAGTGACAACCACCATTTGACCACCAAACCACAATTCGTCCTTCTTTTATTCTCTGTGTCAGAACGCGACAAACATCGTGGCTTTTCTAGCTTTATTATCAAAGAACTAGCGACCATGGTCAACATCAGCGAAGTCAAGGGCAATGCGCGCGAGAACAGAACTGCGGCGCATACGCATATCAAGGGATTGGGCTTGCGATCAGACGGCACTGCTGAACCCAATAGCAATGGATTCGTCGGACAGGCTGCCGCCCGTGAGGTACGCTTCGCATGTCCAAACGGAATCTATTCGCTCTACTGACAAACATTAGGCCTGCGGAGTCGTTGTAGACCTGATAAAGGCCAAAAAGATGTCAGGAAGAGCAGTACTATTAGCAGGAGGACCTGGCACCGGCAAGACAGCTTTGGCACTGGCAGTATCACAAGAGCTGGGGACAAAGGTGCCCTTTTGTCCAATCGTCGGCAGCGAAATTTATTCCGCGGAGGTCAAGAAGACAGAAGCTTTGATGGAGAATTTCAGGAGAGCAATCGGTAACCTGAACCCTTCGATGTCCCTTACTGAGTTGGTACTGACCACATGGAGGTCTCCGCGTGCGCGAGACGAAAGAGGTGTACGAGGGCGAAGTGACCGAACTCCTCCCCGAAGAAGCAGAGAACCCTCTCGGCGGCTTTGGCCGCACCATCTCCCACCTGATCATTACCTTGAAATCCGCCAGAGGCACAAAAAAGCTCCGCCTCGACCCCAGTATATACGAAGCTATCCAAAAGGAGCGAGTGACAGTTGGCGATGTCATCTATATAGAAGCCAACACCGGGGCATGCAAGCGGGTGGGTCGCTCAGACGCCTACGCGACCGAATTCGATCTCGAGGCAGAAGAATACGTTCCCGTACCCAAGGGAGAAGTCCACAAAAAGAAAGAGGTTGTCCAGGACGTCACATTACATGATTTGGATATCGCCAACGCGAGACCTCAGGGGGGCCAGGATGTTATGAGCATGATGGGCCAATTGATGAAGCCAAAGAAGACCGAGATCACGGACAAATTGAGGGCAGAGATCAACAAGGTAGTGAGTAGGTATATTGATCAGGGTGTTGCGGAGTTGGTCCCTGGTGTCCTCTTTATTGATGAGGTGAGTACATTGATATTGAGCACTTTGCGAAATGTTCTTAACCGGTCTTTGCCAGGTTCATATGCTCGACATTGAATGCTTCACCTATCTCAACCGCGCCCTTGAATCTCCTATCTCACCCATCGTCATCCTCGCCTCAAACAGGGGCAACACTCTCATTCGCGGTACACAGGACATCGCAGGTGCCCACGGCGTCCCTCCTGATCTACTTGCCCGCTTGCTCATCATCCCCACACACCCATACAACGCATCCGAAGTTCAGACAATCATCCGTCTACGCGCGAAAACTGAAGGCCTTTCAATATCCGAACCTGCACTGGAGAAGGTTGCACAACATGGCACGAATGTCAGCCTGCGATACGCCCTGCAGCTATTGACGCCCAGTAGCATTCTTGCAAAGGTCAATGGCAGGCAGGAGATTGGTGTTGAGGACGTGGCAGAGTGCGAAGACCTG